GCTAAGACGCTTTAAGGTAGATGGACTTCAACTCCCAGAATTCCCCAACTAGCATGCTTTAAGAGGTGTGAACTTTAATTCCCAGAATTCCCCAGTTAAAAAGCTTCAAGATAGATGGACTTCAACTCCCAGAATTCCCCAACCGGCATGCTTTAAGATGGGTGGATTCCAAATCCCAGAATTCTGGGAATTGACGTTCACCCATCTTAAAATTGCCAAGTTTGGGAAACAAAGGTTCTTCAATAAAAGGGATGAAAATTGGAGGGACCAGGTGTCAAATCTGCCCTTCGGCCAACCTACCTCCCAGGTAAAGATGTAGCAGCAAGATAGGAGGAAGAGGAAGAGGGGGCCATGTTCACCCTCTTCTCAAGTCCCCCCCAAAACCCCTAGAAAACCCTCAAGGCAAATGCAGGGCCTGATAAACCAGTCTAACATCTGGTTCTTTCATTGCAGCTTTGAAGTTTCTTTTAATCAATAATCTTCTTCTTTTTTCATCTACTTTCTGCACAGGAATGAATTTGTGCCAAAAGAGATGCCAAAACGGAGGGATTTGCCAGGTGTGTGTTTGTATTTGTCTAAAAATCTGCACCTTAGGACAAATGAAAGACGGTTATAGTTTTATATGCTGCTTTCACCCCCCCGCCCTCTCGTAAAACGGAGCAAAACTCACTTAACACGTGTCTCACTTAGCAACAGAAATGTTGGGCTCCGTTGTTGTCGTAAGTCGAGGACTGGCTGTAACCCCTCTCTGCTCGTTGCCCTGACATCTTTTCGCCCCTTCTCCCACAGATGGAGGCTGATAGGCAGAGCTGCTCGTGCCAGCCAGGGTACACGGGTGCCGAGTGCGAGACCGAACAGAGGTCCTGCAGAGATGCCCCCTGCCTGCATGGCGGGCAGTGCCAGCAGGCGGAAAACCAGACCTCCTTCTGCAGGTGCCCTCTGGGCTTTAGCGGCAGGTGGTGTGAGGTAATTTGAGCCCGTTTCCGCAGGGTGCAAACTCCGCCGGGTTCGCATGGCCGAGCTGTGGGAGGGTCCTTTATTTTATTTATTTGTGTGCTGCTTGCAAATAACTTAAGTGGACCACATACTTCATAACTCTTCCGCCTTCTATTTTCCCCACAACAACAACCCTGTGAGGTGGGTTGGTCTGACTGGGAGGGGTTAGCCCAAAGTCACCCAACTGGCTTTCATTCTTTAAGGCTAGACTAGAACTCACCGTCTCCTGGTGATTGGCTCAAAGTCACCTAGTCAGCTTTCATGCCTAAGGCAGGACTAGAACTCACCGTCTCCTGGTGATTGGCTTAAAGTCACCCAACTGATTTTCATTCTTAAGGCCAGACTAGAACTCACTGTCTCCTGTTGTGACTGGCCCAAATTTACCCAGCCGGTTTTTGTATCTAAAGCAGGACTAGAACTCCCAATCTCCTGGTGATTGGCAGAAACTCACTCAGCCGGCTTTTGTGCCTAAGGCAGGACTAGAACTCACCGTCTCCTGGTTTCTAGCCCGGTGCCTTCTCCAGTTAGACCCAACTGGCCTTGGTGGCAGCGCTGAATGACTCCTCCCCATGGAGACCAGTGGGCCTGCCCCATGCTCCATAATGCTCAGATGTTTGGAGTGGAGAGGGCGGGAAGAGTAAAACAACAGACACCCCTGTTCTGACCCAAACCCCTTTCCAATAAAACAAACACGAACCAAAGGAAACAGAAATCTTTTAATGGGTCTTACGAATCCCCGGTTAAAAGGCTGCTGCAAACAAATTAACTTTGATAAGCACAAACCTCACCAAAACTGTGCAAGACAGCCAAGGATCACAGATAAGAAATATTTTACCACACAAGAGTCTTCAAATAGCAACTTAAGATACTGGAATGTCCATGAGGCTGAGTTTCAAAACGTCTTTGCTTCCTGCAAAGAACGTTCACTTCAGAGCTGGCTTGTATCTTCTTGAAGTTCTTCGAGTCGCCTGTGCTGCTGCAGCTGCTCTTTCCTGCGAGCAGCCCTGCGCACGCGCACTTGGCACAGGCTCCTCGGCAACCTCCTTGTCGCTGCTGTCAGCCCCCACAATCTCTAAAAGCCGCAGTCCACTTCCTAATGGTCCTGGCCCCTCATCTGAGTCCTCGCTCTCCTCAGCCATCCTCACCTGCTGCCGGCTAACCACAACAACCCCTCACCCCAAATTTTTCACAGATAAACTCTGACTATCCTTCCCCCCGCCACCTCTTTCTTCCTGCCACCCACCCCTCTTTGGCTTTCTCCCACAGGTCTCTGCCAATCCCTGCTCTCCGAATCCTTGCCCCAAAGGCGCCATCTGCCAAGATGGAGAAGGAAGCTACACCTGCCAGTGCCCTGAAGGTGCCACCTGTCAGGCCCTGCAAGACCCCTGCTTGGGTGAGGGGTGCAAAGGTAGGTCCGGGGGCGAGGGGAAGGGGAAGGGTCTCCCCAGCCTGAAAGCACTTCGTAGGTGGTTGAAGATTGCAGCTTTGGCAGGGCTGGGCCTTAATGCTGATCTTTTAAGGCAGTGTTTTAAAAGATGAGTGGACTTCAACTCCCAGAATTCCCCAGCCGGCAGAGGGGAATTCTGGGAGTTGAAGTCCACCTATCTTTCCAGGGATTTGCAATCTTCAATGAAAGGCATTTCTCGTGCCAATTTCTGTAGTCTCCCCATCCAGATTTATTTCAGCAAACCCTGAAAACCTGCCTCTTCTCCCTAATCTTAGATTAGAGCAGGGATCCCCAAACTTGGCCACTTTAACACTGGTGGACTTCAACTCCCAGAATTCCTCAGCCAGCGAGGCCTTCTTTTCTCTCTCTCCTGATCTCCTAAAGTGGAGAGAGATTGCAGAGGGAGGGATCGCAAGAGAGTAAGTTCTGCTGGCTGGCTGGAGAATTCTGGGAGTTGAAGTCCACCAGTCTTAAAGTGGCCAAGTTCGGGGACCTCTGGATTAGAGGTTTGCTTGTACCCCCTTATGACATGCTAGATTTTACCATGGCGGCTGCGTTTCCAGTCATAATTTTTTAGGGTAGGGTCTCTTTTTAGTAGCTTGGTGGGATAGGTTGCCCAGAGTCAGGATAGAGTTGGGTAAAATGAATATTTCTTTTAATGAAGAGAAGGATGAGGGGTGACATGACAGCACTCTTCCAGTCTTCGAGGGGCTGCCCCAAAGAAGACGGGGTCCGCTTGTTCTCCAAAGCAGCAGAAAGCGGGACAAGAAACAATGGTTGGAAACTCACCAAGGAGAAAAACAACCTGGAATGAAGGAGAAACTTGCTAACAGGGAGGACAGTTAGCCAGTGGAACAGCCTGCCACTAGAAATCGTGGGCGCTCCGTCACTGGAGGCTTTTGAGAAGAGGTTGGACAGTCCCTTGTTTGGAATTGTATAGGGTCTCCTGGCTGAGCGGGGGGGGGGGTTGGACTAGATGACCTCCAAGGCCCCTTCCAACTCTGTGATTCTGTAACGGTCTCCTGCCTGAAAGGGGTGTGTGTGGACTAGATGACCTCCAAGTTCCCTTCCAACTCTATCACTCTGTTTTTCAAACATGGTTCCCTCTAGGAGAGACCAACGTTGGCCTCCTGTCTGCCGTCCTTCTACCAGTTCTCCTCCTCACCGGAGGAGTCCCCGTGTTGGTGTTACTGCTCCTGCTTTGCCTTCAACACCGCTTTCTGCCGAAAGTCCCCGGTCAAACCGAACCTCCCGCCAACAACAGCCTGCGGCCGGATGCCGTCCATCTCATCCGCAACTTCACCCCCGGGGAGGCCGAGCGAGGGCCCAGTGCGGCTGACGGCATGGCCAAGATGGCGGGGCTGCCCGCTGGGGGGCCTCCTTCTCCGGAGCTCTCCAAGGTGGACATCTCCAACCAGGAGAGAGCCAGACTCAACCAGTTGAACGTCGGCCTGGTTTTAGCGAAGCCGCCTCTCTGACAAGAAGGAGATGGCGGAGGAGTGTTGTCCTAGGCCTCACCCCAAAAGCACTCGGTCAATTCTGAGTCCCGGCAAAAAAACCTCTTCATTTACAAGAATGTGAATTGTTTCATTCAGAGTCAGCCAACGGCTTGGCCCACAGCCTCACGAAGGTGGACTAATCTCAGACCTTTATCAATCCTGGAAGGCTGCCTGGTAAATAGTTCCACACTCAGTGCTGACAGGGAAGGCTGGGTTTACAACAGACAAATCTCCACGAGGCTGGAACAAACGAACGACCGAACGAGCCAGTTGTTTCCTGCAAAAGCCCCCTCCCCTTTTGCTCCTCTTGTAATCCTGATGGGAGGGGCCATTTATTGTCCACCTGCGGCCTTGCTCCCACTTCGACCCTGAGCTCTTAATTGCTCCTTACTTTCGGCAGCTGTGCGCATGCGCACGCTGGGAACCAGTTCCAGAAGCTCCCCCCGCCTCACTGCTGTCCGAACCCGAAGGCAGCTGATGACTGCCAGCCTGCCCTGGCCCCATCTCTGCCTCTGATGCAGAGCCCTCCTCCGGGCCTTCCTCAGCCTCCAAGACTCGCCCAGGTTCTTCCCCAACCTCCTCGCTACTGTCCGACTCTGCTGCCAGATCCGTCAGCTGCCAGAGGGCCACACCCATGGTGCTTCTCCTGCAGACAAGAGTTCCTGATTCCCATCTTCTTTACAGTCCTCTCCGAAAGAGGCCCTGCTCCAAAAACGGGCAGGACCCACCTGCAAGGCTTCCTATGTTCCCAGGCAGATGTACCGCTGGTCTAGCTGCCGGGCTCACTGCAGTGAGGGAGGGTCTCTGGGGGGTCTCCGACGGCTGCTCGGACAACAGGACGTCCCCAAAGAAGCTGCGTTTGCAAGAGCAAATAATCGTCTCGTCATTTGAACGGGCACACATCTGGCCATTGATGCGGTACAACATCTGGCAAGCTATATTCCCAGGGGTGGGATTCATCCAGTTCGCACCTATTCGCTAAAACCGGGGGTTAACATTCTAAGCAGTTCGGAGAACCGGTTGTTAGAAGAAATTACGGGCCTAATCCTGTAAGGAAGGCAGGAAGGAAACATTCTGGTGTTGCTTACAGAAACTGCCTCTCCGTTAACCCTTCTAACATTCTTGGAAGGACTGGACTTCCTGTCTCTGGAACTTCTCTGGAGTTTTTTCCCCCTCCTTTGCTGGTACTTTGCTTGTGTGGAGGGACCATTCAATGTTACAATGGCACTGAAAAAAGTGACTCATGACCATTTTTCACACTTACGACTGTTGCAGCATCCCCAGCGTCATGAGAGGCCAGGCGACGAGTGGCGTGCCTCGATGTGAGTGATATTGAGTTGGGCACGCCCAGCCAGTCATATTACCACCAAGCCACGCCCACCAACCAAGCCACGCCCACAGAACCGGTTGTTAAAAAAATTGAATCCCACCCCTGTATATTGCCCCCCCTCCCCTAAGGGGATAACAAGGCGGGGGGCCACTCCCATAACCCTGGATCGCCCCCACTTTAGATCCGGTGGCTTCCCATCCTCGTCCCAGCCGGCAACCTCGGGGGCTGTGATTTGGAGTGGCTGGGGAGCACGGGGTTTTGTAGTCCAGTCCAGCAAGAGGGTGCTTGGAAGGGGGGTGGGTGGGGAGACAGACCCCCCCTTTTTTTGGCAGGAAGAAACCTCTCGGGCAGATGGGAATGTAACTTGCATTGTAATATACTGTAATATTCTCTTTTTTTGCCGGTTGTGTTTTGATTCAAATGTCCCGTGTTTGGGTGTCGCAAAAGGATTGTGAGGGAATATTTTATGGCTGCCATTTTGCGCACCACTGCATGTTTTGGGGTGTTGCATGGAGCGTTGCCAAAGAGCTGTGTTTGGCACCCCAATTTTGACCTGGGGAGTGGATTATTTGTCATTTTTGGAAACTTCCGTAATGTACTGGGACAAATGGACTAGATGATCTATAAGGTCCCTTCCAACTCTGATTATGTGTTATCTGTTAATGTCTCTCAAGCGCGGCCATTTTAAGATGGGTGGACTTCAACACGCAGAATCCCCCAGCCAGCAATCCTAAATCCTAACATGGTTTGTTTTGGCATCAGAGGTTCAGGTCATCCTCGACTTACAAAACAGTTCATTTAGTGCCCGCTGAAAACGGTAAAGTCACAGCAAAAAGTGACTTACGACCGGTTTTCATACTTAACGACCGCTGTAGCATCTCCAACAGTCCCGTGATCAAAATTCAGAGGCTTGGCAATTGACTCGTATTTACGACGGTCTCAGTGTCCCCCCTTTAGCAACCAGCAAAGTCAACGGGGAAGCCAGATTCTCTTAACAGCCGTGGGACTATCTTAACGACTGCCGGGAGCCACATAACCACGGTGGCGAGAAAGGTCACAAAAGGGCCTCACTGATCAAATGTCTCACTTAGCACCAGCAATTTTGATTTTGATTGTGGCCGTAAGTCGAGGACTACCTGTACGGGGATCTTTGCCAAGAGCGAGCCAGCAAGACGTGGCTGGCAGCTCAAACATCAGCCCAGGCCATTTCTAGCTCTGCCGGCTTGGCAGCTGCATTTTACGGGCTCCTTGAGGGCACCCTGGCATCTCGGGACGGGCCGTTCTGGAGAGATTTGAGGCTGGCAGACCGATTCCTGTTGTTCTTCCCAGCCGGCGAAACCTCCGGAGGCTCTTGGGCTCACCTGCTCCTCCCCTCACCTGTTCGGCTCCCTCTTCGCCCACTTCCTTCACCACCGTGGCTGGTGCCAGCCAAGCCATCAACGGAGGGGGAGAAGACAGGCTGCAGCCTGCCTCGCTCTGCCCCGGGCTCTGAGCTTGTGAGAACACGGGGGAAGAGGAGGTTTGGGGCAGGGGAGGCTGAACACCTCGTAACCTGTACGGGCAGGTAAGCTGCTCAGCCGGGCACCTCCCTCGCCCCATCGTTACTCGGTGGCTGGGGAAGACAGGCGGGGGAAGGGGGGGTGATGAAATTGCGCTGGGGGCAGGAATTGGGGTGATGCTTGCCAAGCACCCATTTTTGGAAAGAAGGAAGGAAGCTGGTGGGGCAGGAACCAGCGATTCTCAGGTACGGAGGCTGGTGAGCTCAATAGAGAGACCAGGTGCTCGCCAAATCAAGGAACAGGACAGTGCAGCCCCCCCCTGGGTTGGAACGATGATCCTAGAGCTGAACTCTGGAGCATCCAACACTTCAACTTCTCAGTGGACAAATCCAGGTGTAAGTGAGGCTTGAGACTCAGGATTTAAATGGGGTTAAGTGCCGGAATCCTGACAAGCTTGTTTTATTCACAGGGACTGCTGTAGAAGGTAAGTATTAGAGCAAGGGCCTTCAAATCGATCGATCGATCTATCTATCTATCTATCTATCTATCATCAACCTACCTACCTATCATCTCTCTCTCTCAATACCTACCTACCTATTTACCTATCTATCAATCAATCTATCATCTATCCCAAGGGTCTTCAAACTTGGCAAGTTTAAGACTTGTGGACTTCAACTCCCAGAATTCCTGAGCTAACATGAGAGGAGGAGGAATTCTGGGAGTTGAAGTCCACAAGTCTTAAAGTGGCCAAGATTGGCCTGATCCAAATCTATGGAAGGAAAGCGGGCCTGCAACGAGTGGGCGTGACCAAAGGAGGGCGTGGCCCATTTTGATTGTCATGTCACCTCTTTGAAAGAAGGCGGGGCTATCCGGCTCAGTGGCCAGTGGGACCACGCCCCTATTTCTAGAGCGATCTATTCGTGCCCGGGAGGGGGAGGGCTATACCATTTTTTTAAAAAACAGTGAAATATTATTTTTTTTCCTTTACTAAACCAAACACGCCTCCAAACGCAGCCTCTTGGGCTCTCCCGCTCCTCCACCCACACCCTTCCCCTTGGTTCCTCCCTCCGTCCCCCTTTTTCCCTCCTCCACATGGCCCGCTCCAATTTTGACGCATTGCAGGTGAGAGGCGACCAATGGCCGCGGGAGTCTCATCCTGCGCCTCCTCCCGCGGCCAATGGGAAGGCGCGAAACAATCGCGAGCTCCTCATCCTGTGTCCTTCCGCCGACAGGCGGCGGCAGGGGAGGGGCGGGACGGGACGGGGGAAAGAAGCGCGAGGAGACAGCGAAGGGAGGAAAGTAGTCCCCTCAGGTCCTCTCCCCGCCCGCAGGGAGGAGGCGGGCGGGGCCTCCCTCAAGGGGCAAGAGCGGATTGGGCGCGGCGTCGACCGCGGGGCGGGGCGTCGGGGCGAGGCCCGGAGGCGGCCGTTGGCGGAGGGATCCGGCGCGCGCAGTGAGGCTCCGTGAAGCGGCCCTCGGTGCGTCCCCGGCTGGTGCGCCTCCTGCCTCCCTCGCGACGCCGTTGCTGCCTTCGAAGCCTCCGGACGCCGCTGACGCCGCCTCGCCGAGCCGGATCCGACAATGGTGAGGGGGACAGCGCGGCTTCCGTCGCCTTTCCGGGAAGGGAATATTGGGGGCGGGGGGGGGGGGGGGTGGTTTGAAACGGACGGACGGACGGACTGGGAGGCCCTTGCGGGCGGGGGGGGGGGCGCGGGGGGGGGGGGGCGAAGAAAACGACCCCTCCCCTTGTTGCGGGGTCGGGTCAGGCCCATTAATGGTGGGGAGGGGAGGGGGGGCAGTGGCCCCAATTGAGGGGAGGGGGGTCAGCGCATGAGGCCAGTTCCCAGTGAGGGGGGGGGCTCGTATCCCAATGCAGTAGAAGAGATGCGGGAGGAGGAGGAGGAGGAGGGGGGGGTCGCCTCGGAGGAGCGTT